CATAGTTCTTAAGGAAATCACAGAATGTGATTTTAAGATAATGGTACAGTCATTCTTCCAAATGGGCTTTTTTTTTGCCAGAAACCAAGCACAGACAGGAAAACAAATGAATTACAGGACAAATCAAACCAGATTTCTCATTCAAAACTCTAATTTAAGTAACCCTGATAATAACAATATCAATATCAATAACAATAACAATAACAATAATAAAGTTGGAAGGGATCTTGGAGGTCATCTAGCCCAACCCCCTGCTCAGGCAGGAAGGATCCTTATATTTTTGACACTATTCATACAGAAAGCCAGTTTCCTTAAGAAGTGTATAATGCTTGGAAAAGTTGAAGGAGAAGAGGAAGCAAATGGCCAGTGGATGAATTCAATTCAATGACAGCAATAAAAGGTAGACTGATTCAACAAATCACTGAAAATCAATGAATTTCAGGAAATAAAACAATAATTCCTAACATCCAATGGAACATCAGTTCAATAGGCATGCATAAAATAGCATTGTACAAAGCACTTTCCCTTAATTGAATCACATTTTCAATTATTTTAAATTTTGTTTAGGAACAATAAGTAACAGATCTTATAGCAATGTATAATAGCAAGATTGTAATTATAATGTATATGTTATATTTCATTAAAATTTCATTAGAAGCTGCAGCTAGTGGAGCAACCTACGTGGGTAAAAAATCTTCCTGATTTTATGGTCTGAGGCACAGGAAAACTTAAGTTCAAGAGTACAGCCATTTTACAAAGTGCATTCCCATTAAGATATGGTCAATCATCACAAGTTCCTAAATTAACCAGATTTCTATATTTTCCAAATTCAGATTCAGTTCATTTACCCTCCTAGCATCTCTTAAAAAATCTTCCACTATTTCAAAAATAAATAAAACTGAGCATTAACAAAACACTGGTAACAGCACACTTCAAATTCTCTAGATTTTCTCCTTGTCCCAGCAATTATTCATCTAATCTCCTTAAACCTAAGTCTGGAAAGGCTGCTAGCTATTATTATCTCATCATCCTTATTTTTTTCCTCCATTTTATCTTCAGCTCCACTTTTTGTCATCAGCATTATTCCTTACCATCACGTGGAATTGATATTCAAAGAAAAAATATTTTGACCAAGGAGATAAACGTTATGGAAGAAAGGACTCTATTACTAGAAAACAAAGTCTATGACTAAAAAAGGGAAGTAAACAACCTGAGGTATGGGTCTCTGTCTTTGAAAATGTGAACAGCTAAAGTGGTCTGACAAGTGCATTAAATTAAAATGCTCTCAGCCATTCCAGGCCTAGATCTATGGAGGTGAGATTAATAATCTGTATATTGAAGATTGTGAAGCAAACAAATGAACCAGATCTAAACCAACGCAGTTTCTGCTTGGAGTAGCCTGAAGCCCTTTTTATTTAAATCTTTCCTAATTTGTCATTCCACAGACATGTTGAGGACTACAGCTCCAAGAAATCCCGGCCAATATGGCTCCAGGTTTACTGAATACTTTCTTTGCTGTAAATCAGGGGTCTTCAAACATGGCCCTTTTATGACTTGTGGACTTCAATTCCCAGAATTCCTCAGCCAGGCACGCTGGCTGAAGAATTCTGGGAGTTGATGTCCACAAGTCATAAAAGGGCCAAGTTTGAAGACCCTTGCTGTAGATAAATCTTTCCCTGTCATTCACTATTGATAAGCTGATTGATGTAGACTCCATTCCAGGTGTTAGATTTTCAAGGTGCGAATGGATATTTTAAAGATACAGATCAGAGGCAGAAAGATTTTAAGCAGTAAAAGAGACTCTTCCAAATGGCTACATGGCCTCTTCTCATTTCCAGATTTCAGATGTAGCACTAAGAGATCCTACACGTTGTAACACTCTACACAAATATTACAGAGATAATAAAGATTTATTTCATTTAAAATAACTTTCAAGTTTCATTGTTGAAGCATTGGAATGTACTTAGAATGTTGGGTTAGAACTTGGAGATGCCCATATTCAAATTTACTCTCTGCCACAATATCTCACCTGATGACTAGGGGAAAGCCGCTTTCTGACTGCTTACCCCATAGAGTTGTTGTGAGAAAAACTGGAGAAGTGAGCACCACCATGAATTTCTCAAGGAAACATACGATATGTTGCTACCAATGAAAATAATTATATCAATAACACAATTCCCTACCTCCTATCTGAATGTTGCCTTCTGAGTCGATTCTGTCTAATTCTGCTTTCCATGATTGCTTCCCAGTGTGATTTCAATGCATAATTTTCTATGAAATCGTATTTCTCACTAATGTGAAAGTAGGTTCATTATGAGGAATGCATTGCTTCAGAACTTCCATGAAGGAATTTTCTGCATCTGGGGCAGCTTTTTATTCCTCCCCATGATGTTCAGAAATGAACAGCTTCCTTAACTACTTTTTAAATAAGTTATTTACCTCAGCTTACGAGATCCAAGTTCTGTTCAAGACCTCTCAGCACACAAAATACGCATGTTCTGCTTTTATTACAGAAAGGAAGCTGCTGCCATTATTTGTACTGAATAAATGGCACAAAGTGGAGGCTGCAAGCTGCAAATTGATACCATGTGTGCTAAAATTCAGAGTATATTGTTTGAGGCACCTATGTACAGTATTTAAATAGTCTACATTAAAAAATCTAATGTTATCCCATTACCCATAGGGACCTGAGCATTATGAGCATGATAGTAATGGAGCCAGATAATGTCTTTTCTTCAGAACCACTAATAACTTTTCCCTTGCCATAAGCTTTCGGCCAATGGCAAAATGGCCCCAAATATCTTGTTGTTTGAACTGAAGCAGCAACTGGCTGTTCTGCATCTCTTCCTGAAGCATAGCTGTGAGAACAATCAACCAATGGAACAGCTTGCCTTCAGATGTTGTGGGAGCTTCATCACTGGAAGCTTTCAAGAAGAGACTGGACTGCCATCTGTCAGAAATGGAGTAGGGTCTCCTGCTTGGGCAGTGGGATTGGACTAGTTGACCTACAAAGTCTGTTCCAACTCTGTTATTCTATTCTATTCTTAGTGACAAGCTTTGTTCTTTGTGTCCAAGACTGACATCTCTCCCCTGTTCCTCCTGCAGGGACATTTGGAAGTGTGAGTCAAAAACCAAGGACACTCATCCCTTGGTCATTACCTGGTTGGATTACTGCAACTACAGAGTTGTCCTTGAAAACCACCTGCAAGCTACAATTGTTTCAGAATGCAGCGGCACATGTACTGATGTTTGCCCCCAGGTTTACCCATGCTATACCTCTGTTGTGCAATTTCACTGGCTCCCAGTTTTCTTCCAAATGCAATTAAAGGTGCTAGTTATTGTCTTTAAAGCCCTATGTGGCACAGGGCCAGGTTATCTGCAGGACCAACTCTCCCTAAGGATATCTATCTGTACTACCTAATCCCTTCCTGCCTTAAACATTGCCATCTTATGGGATCTAGGATGTGAACCTTTTTGCTGGTGGCCCCTGCCCTATGGAACACCCTTCCCCCTGAGGTTCAGCAAGCCTCTATCCCTCTAGTCTTCCGAAAAGCACTTAAGACCTGAGTCCCCTCCCCCAAGTGCTGGTATAGGGTGAGATTGATTGGAATTTACTGTTTGTAATAGATATATTTATTAATTGTACAACGATGGTGTTTTAACTGTTGGTTGGGAGCCACCCAGAGTTCAGTATCAGGTGGGTGGCTATATAAACATTTTAAATAAATAAATAAGCCAATATTGTGGCTATACCTATGCAATCAAAGTCATGCCCCCTTTTTTTGTAAGCAACTTATAAAAGGAGACGGTTTTGATCGGGGTGTTGCAATGTTGACACCCTTGCCCCTGTCTATTAAAAAAAAGACAATAACAAAAATGTATTAGTTAAAAAAAATAGTACAAAATTTGTACAATTAGTACAAAAATAGTAACAATGGAATGCCTTTTCATATAACAAAGTCTACCACCTGAGAGGCCACCTTCCTTTGACGGATATAAAAAATGAACTGAACTGGAAGTGCCAAAAGTCTTAGCTAACATGGTTAATGGCTCAGTGTGTCATGAACTATAAGTCAGGTATAATTCATGATCATCTACTTTAATTAGAGTAAATGGGCTCCCAGATGTGAATTGCAAAGGTTTCAGAAGACTGTGTGAACTACTGCCATTTAGTATTTCATCTGCAATTTTTGTATTCCCCCTAATGTTATTATTGGTAAGTATGATAAAGTATGATTGGTATTATAGTTAGGATAAAGAGGACTATAAAATGGAAAAGAAACTTATTTTAATTCCATGTGTTCTGGTGTCCATTGAAACATTACACCAACATTTGTACATACTGGTGTACAGTGCTGGGAGCTGAAATAAAAATAGCAGGGAATAAAAGTACCATATCATCTTTCTTTCAGGGACTTTAAACTATACTTTGCCAATCTAGGGAGTAAAGGCTACTGTTGATTTGTTCTTATTTATTGTCCTTCATGATCCTTTTTCATTGTATTAGACTTGACATAGGAAAAGACCTTCATGATTCCTCTATCAACTTGTTGCCTACCATCTGTGTTAGGCTATAACTACAATGATCCTCAGCCAGCCAGGTCAATGGAAATTATAGTCTGACACATCTGGAGGGCACTTAAGGTCAAGGCTTATGATCGACTCTGCCATCTGGTGGTAGCCATTCACAAAACATGGAAATTGATGTTGCCATCAGAAGCAAGTATTTGTCAATGCTTGTCTGTGGATGCTGATCATGTGTAGTTGTTAACTCCTATCTGTGAAACAAGGGTTAAATACAGACAAGGTCTGAAGAGCTGCTGGAGAAAGATAATTTACTGCTTGATTTTTTTAAGGGTTATTTTAATAATGTGGAGGAGCTCCTCATGTCTTATATGATTGTGACAATGCACCAAATTCTGCTGAATGGCCAATTTCAACTTTCAAATCACAGCGAAAATCATAAATTATAGTATTTCAGGTTGTATTGTTTCTCTTACCTTAAGCTTAGCCAGGAGAAGTTCATGATCATGTAATAATTTTTTGGTCTCTTCTTCATTGCTGCCAATTTCTAATAAATTTGGTACTGATTCAACTAGCTGCAGCTGTACCCATTTGCCACACTAAAACAAAAATATAAGCAAATATTGTTCTAAGCAGATACAGTACATATTTTTGTACAAATAATTGGTTCAGGCAGTAATAAGCAAAATCAACATAAAGGATATAAAACAGGCGTGTCTAATCTTTTGGCTTGCCTAGAACGCACTGAGTGAATAGGAATTGTCTTGGGCCATATATACAATTATATAATATAGTTAATGTATATTATATATTAAATAATATTAAAAGTTTATCAACATGTGAGACCACATTACTAGCTGTCCAGGGCCACATGCAATCCGTGAGTCATGGGTTAGAACACCTGACATAAAGGATTATGAGCTGGATCTAAATGAAGTCATGCTTAGAGCAGAAGTATTTAAATAAATAGAACTAAGCTTACTAATTTACATGTTTATTTTAATAGGTCTAATGTGAACTTCACTATTTTGGATCAGCCTGGACTTTCCTTACAAGCCGTAATAATAGTTTACTTTTATTTATAAACATTTATTTATATTAAAGATGTTTGTATGTCACCACAATCAAAAACAACGCTCGTGGCTCACATAAAAATACAATAGCACATAAACTTTAGCATCCATAAGTTTCAACAGAGGGCATGTGCAATGAATGTGTACACTAAAATGAGCTGGTGAAATAATTCTCATTAAGGTTTTAAATCAGCCTTTTTACTTTGTGAAATGCAAATTGATATTTGGATCATATGAATACTAATGATTTCCCTATACATTAACATCATAATGATTCCTTTAGCTAATCAGCTTAGGTTAATGCACTTTTATAAACTGAATATAATCCTTAACAATTTGGAAAACAAAGTTATAAATTCTGAATGAATGCAATTAAAATCAGAGAAAACGACATGCAAATAAAGATGTTCCTGCACACTTTCCTGTGCTGTTTATTTAATTTTAGTCAATATGTCTTTATTAAAGAAAGCAAATTATTTACCTGGGATGATGCTTGATTGATTTTTAAACTCACTCATCAAAAAGCAAATTATTTATCCTGGATGATGCTTGATTGGCTTTTAAACTCTTAAACTCATCAGAAACTTGCCGTACATTATCCCGCTCCTCGGGGTTTTTCCTTCTGCGGCTCAGCATTAACTTTTTATACATGAACATTTGAGCCGAGTACAGAATACCAATCCAGCCCGAGGTGCAAAGGTAGAATTAGGCTCTGTTCCGCTTACCTTAAGAAGGGCGATGACAATTCTGCAATCCCCGGCCTCAACCAGAACTGAACTAACAGTTGTTGTGGAAAGTGGTTCCTCGGGACTATTGTTGCTGGTCATGGTGTTGCCGTAGAACTGGGCTTCATGTGAAAAGGTTCCCCTCTAGCAGCTGGGAAAAGCTGCTGGTCATTGTAAAAGGCAGCAAATGGGGTTAGTTGGCTGTCTTCCGTCAAAGAGCTCAGCTAGCACTGATTGCTCTGCCAAAAAGGAAAGAACAGGAGGTTAAAAATAGACACCCCCATTGAATTTATCATTCAAGGCAGGGAGGGAGAGGGGGAGAGAGGGACGTGACACTCCTCTATTTTTGTAGTTTTTAACTGCTATCCATTTTTGCCCCCTATAAGCATGGCTCATATGTCTCCAAACATAAGGCTTTCTCTGCTTGTTGATAGGAAAAGGCTACCTACAGGGAGTGGGGAAAGAAAAAGACAACAGATTGTTTTCTTCAAGTTGCTGTTTATCTGTGAAAGGCTGTTTACATGATGTCTTGACGTGAGCTATAGAAGACCGCTCAAGAAGAGCTAAAAGACAAGATCCATACTTGCTTGCAAAGTAAGACTTCATCTTCAAACTTTGTCTCATGATCGCACATTATAAATATTCTACTGTTCACAAAAAGAACAATAATAACACAGACACATCAAAATCCAAAACTCTTCAAGGCAAGGAATTACCATTTGAAGATAGCCACAATGAAAGAATCAATCACATGCAAGTTTGTTGTCATTTTTAGCGGCGTTTTATCCAGGACTCGGTTAAATGTTGGAGGAGATACCAGTTCCACTATGCTCTGGAGTAAACCACTAGTTTTTAATTTTTAGGTGTTTTTTATATCTCTAATTACTTTGAGACATGGGAGGAGGACGAGGAGAAGTCATTATATAATTATTATTGTTATTATTATAATCCAAGAAGGTTTTTGAGAGCCATCATAAACAGATGATCAGTTTAATCGCCTTAAAGTTGCTTTCCCAGTAGATGCAGAAGTTTTCTTGCTTTCCCCACCTGAAAAAACAGTGCCTGCATTTTATCAGTTCTAAAAAAAAGAGTGGATTTCATGAATGAAGGCAAATATACCTGTCCCAGGATAATGACATGAGATTGAATTTGGGTAAATCTCTTCCGAGCTTTTGGACTCATGCTGGAGCCCATCTTCAGGGAATTTCTCTCTATTGCAGTGGTTCTCAACCTGTGGGTCGGGACCCCATTTGGGGTCGATCGACCATTTCATGGGGGTCGCCAAGCAAGGCTGTTCGCCATTTTTTTTGTCAGCCATTTTTTTGTCCGCCATTTTTTTCCCCTTTTCCGGCGGGTGCCTTACCTCCCTTGGGCTGGGCCAGCTGGTGGTCGGCCTGTTCTGTCTCTGCTGCTTGCAAGCTACGCCTCGGCCGGCGCAGGGGACGGAACCACGCATGTGCGGCGCTCCCGGGCAGGGAAAGTCCTCCACTTACGACCAGTTGGTTAGTCCTCGACTTACGACTGGTTTAGTCCTCGACTTACGACCGGTTTAGTCCTCGACTTACAACCGGTTTAGTCCTCGACTTACGACCGGTTGGGGTCGCGGCATTAAAAAGGTTGAGAACCACTGCTCTATTGAAATACGTGTTTTGGGCTGTTCTGTGAGTCGTGTTTATGTGGTGCCTTCCTATTGGCCTGATTGGTGTGTATTGATTTTTGAGTGGATTTTTGTTTCAGAATTTTCCTTCATTACGAAAAGAAAAAAAAACATTCCACAATAACTTTATTTGATGCCTCTCACTTCAAAACAAACTGAATGCAACTCGTGTAGAATGAAATCCTTGACGAGAAGGAACATTTATTCCATGCTGAGGAAATCACATATTTTCAGCAGGCTGCTAAGA